AAACGAAAAAAACCCAAAAAACTGTACAGGTACTTTAGGACACACTAAAAACTTAATTTGCGTTCCTTTGAAAACAGCAGTGTTCCGTGACACTTGACAGATCTGGACCATTTTTAATATCAACCGGCTTGCAGGTATTTCTAAAGTTCTCAACAAATTTCCAGCCAATATTTGCGCCCAGGACAATTTTCACCACAGACATTACGGGGACGGATAGTCATTCATGGGGATGCGCTTAAATCGATTTAGAATTTTTTATTGATCGGCTTATACGCGTAATCCTTATCGTGTACTACTTGTGGTAAACTTGGGGATGTGTTCCATAACTTTCTCAGGACTTTGTGTAAAACAAGTAATAATTAATTCTTTTTCATTACAAAAATTAATTAATATTAGAGAGCAGTGAAGATTCAGCCCGTAGGTATAACATGCAAAAATTGAAATTGAACTTAGGAATAAAAGTCAATTCTCCAACTCTAAATAACGCATGTCGCCAACACATATGTGGGCATAAACCCGCTACCTTCTTCTAACCACAGTGTTCCTTCCATCAGATTTTATTGCTGTATACATGAGTTCCCGTGGGACACTGTCAAAATTAGAATTAAGAAATTTTTTTTTTTTTTTTGGATTCCTCCTAGAACAAAAAATTTGGGTAAAAAAAAGTGTATTTGCTCTCATTGGTGAATCGTGTAAAAAAAGATTTATGTGTACTTTATACGGCCTTTGAAGGTTCCTTCTGTGCGTTGCAAACACTTTAGCATATTTATTATAAACTCATTCTTTAATAGTGCGTAGAGAACAAAGAACAAATTAATTGCGAACAACAGGTCTTTCCTATAATCATTAAAAATCTTATTCACTTTATATTAAATTAAAGTTTTAAAGATTTAAAGCAAATACAAAAAAGTCCCAGAACACACGCTGACATGATAACAGTTAATCTACTATCTAAACTTGTTCTACGTACTACTGGAATCGTACGGCAATGTTCTTAAAAAGAAATAAAAAACCAAAAATAAAAAGTCGAAATACTTAAAAGTTACGAACAAATTTTGCCTCGGCTCTTCGTTAAATGTCCTAGTTTTTGTTTTCGTTATTCACCTTGTTCTCTATTTAATGACTTTTTATTCAATGTGTATATAAACATATCTTATTTTCTCTTTGTTTAGAAATAAAACAAAGAATGGAAGCAACAAATTCTTCTTAGCAACAATGTTGACAAAAACAACCTATGTGCTTTGTTTATACAGCTGAGACCCTTTTTACGCTGTACACTGTAAGTAGAGCAAATTCAAAAGTTATGGTCGGGTAAGACCGGGCCTTAAATACCCTGCTCTACTTCATCTAATACGTTTCATTAGGAAATATCAAGGAGTAAGAAAATTTTATTTGCCTGGGGCCGATTCTTTTATATCCATCAACTTTATAATAAAATAGAAGGTGCAGACGTTTATTGTTGCAGTTTATATATACTTATGTTTTTACAAATTGGCCATTTTCAACACCAAAATCTACAATGTTTCTTTCCGAATTTTGAGCCAATTTCTCCATTTTTGCGGCCAATACAACTTAATACTTTGGCTAATTTCCAAACCCAAATATTAAAACTACATCTTTTTGCCTCCTGAAGATTTATTTTTTGTAAAAACATTTGTATGAGAAGTGGTTCCAAACATGATCCCGTTTTATCTAAATCATCCACAATCACTTAGTATGCTAAATGATATTTTTCATTAATTTATCTTGAGAAGTGGGTGAATTTCTATAAGTAGTCGTAGAAATAGTTCGATGCGGATGAAGGATCTTGAAGTTTTTTTCCCTCCTTTCTCTCCTTTACTGCATATAATTGAAATATTGAATTTAGTTTCCTCTAAATTTTTATCTACAAATTTATACAAAATTCTAACTGCGGGAGGAAGTTAGGCGCCTATTTTGAACATGGGATCTTTATTGATAAAATAATTTTTTAATCTATGAGGATGTTGAAGAAGTTCCTACAGTAATTTGAAGTACACATCAAGTGAAAAGCTTTAATGAAATTTAAATTTTTACTGCGCTTAAATTTTTTTACTGCGAAAAATTCCGATATCATAATTTTTGACATATCACGACCAACTTTTCTCGTAATTGGATCGACCGTTGTTGATAGTGGTAGTTTCATTTAGTTGGAACTACTCGTAAAATAACGCGGCTAATTTAACCAACCAGGCGGGAGCAGCGTATTCACCCTCATCATTCACGCATCTTGCATAATAGTTTTTTGGGCTATCGTAACGCATCCAGTGCCCATCACTCGTAAGGATTGGGATGGACTATCCTTCGAATGGAGCAGTGAGATATATGTTATTCGCAAATCCGCATTACGCTTATTCAAAACTACGAGGGACTATGTTTTGTACGTTTCAGTGCGATACTACTACGAACTATTTATACTTGGAAACATTCCGTGTAAAATCAGAATTCAGTGTAAAAGTAAAAGCAAAAGACTTAAGTAACAAACTTTATTACACCCGCACTTAGGCGATTGCGTCTTGAGTAGTCATTTCACTTAAAATTCAGCAACATGGTAGCTAAACAATTGCATTTTAATATATTTTCTAAATTTATTACGCTCTTGATTGAACGGTGAGATATATTAAATTTGACATTGCTTTTGCTTCTAAAGAATACTTGAAAGGTATATGTTGCTACAACATCGAGTTTTTGTAAATACAGCAGATAAATCGCCTTACACCTCATCGGTCTGTCAGTGTTCAACCGTTTCTCTTTATGTTTTTCTGCATGCCGGTATTGAATCATAGCACTCGTACGTCCGCCTATTCGTCCGCTCATCTAACCGTCCGCTTGTCCATTCATCTTCTAACCGATTTATTCATCTTTACCATTGTCCGTTCACCTGTATATCGAACGTTGGGCACACGGCTAGCCATCGCGTACGTTAGGCAGCTCAGGCTGCCTAAATGATTGTTCGGTTATGGACTGCTTCACTTATGTAGTTGTCTGGCTATTCATTTATTTAACTATCAACCTGTGTGCTTAATCGTCCGTCTTCTTCACTTCCATATATATATACATATATATATAGGCGTTTGCATGTTCGATTGTCTGTCAAATTACCTCTTGTTGCACTCATTCGGTTGTCTTTAGATCCGGCCCTCAATTCATACGTCACCATCCAACGATATAGGTATCAGCACTTTCAGTCATCTATCTGTCCGTAGCGTGTGGGTTCAACTATGTTTGTGCATATATATCCATTCGTCAGCTCAACAATCCGTCTTCCAAGGCATCATTTACTCTTGCATCCATTCGACAGCTCACCCATCATCCTTTCTTTTCCTAATTCATTCGACTATCCATTAGCGCACCTATCAATTTGGTCTTACAACTTCCGTTTTAAAGCGTGTATTACGACGGAATAATAACATTGCGAGTTCAAAGATTCGATGCCTGCCGCTCATATTCATTTTGAAACAACTAACCAAGTAAAAAATATTTTTATATTCTCTAAACATGCAAAGTGAGCAAGAGTGAGTGCATCAATTTTTACTTGTGAAGCTCTGCGGAATCTCATTTTAGTGCAACAATAACAACAACAATTTTGCGAATGATGTTGTTTTTGATAATGTTGTTTTTGTCTGAGATATTACCACACAGTTAGAGAAGAAGATATACAGAAGTATTTGCTTGGATTGGAAATGTTTTGTTCATAATAATGAATTTTTAAACTCCGGATGCATCAGTTCTGATTTGAACTCTGTTTAAAGCGGTTGTCGATTAACGGTATTCTAGCGATGTATAAATAATCAAATAAACAAAATGTAGTTTTCTTTTAAGTAACTATTAAAGAATTTGAATTTTTTTAAAGAAAATTAAGAGAAGAAAAAAAAAATGTTTTTCTTTATTTTTCTTTAAGAAATTAATCAAAAATATTTCTTTGGAAATTTTAAAGAAAAATTTTTATTGTTTTGTTTTCTTTAGTTAAATGTTAACAAGTTTTCCTTGGTAAGGTTTGAATAGAAATATCTATATATATATATATATATATATATATATATATATCTATGCATGTATGCATTTATTCATATGTGTGTGTGTGTGTGTATGTGTGCATTTAGTGTTACTTACCACACTGTAACACTCGATATCAACACTCCATGTACGTACGTACATGGGTTCGGTAAATATATGTATTTGTGTCTCAACGCCTTAAATGCAATTGATTAGGTGCTCTATGCCGTCGTTGCTTCTCGGCAAACACCGCCGCCACTAGTCACTTAGTTTTGTAAAAAAGCAAATAAAACAATCTTAAAAGTTTCTTTCAGCGAGCAAGCAGACAGACAAACAATCATAAGTAAATTGCTTGCGAAGAAGAATTTATGCATAAGTGCGAGTGTTATTAGACTGCTGCCACTGTCGTTGAGCGGTATCATCGCAATTGTTGTTAGTGGTCTTATTGTCACTTAAGCTGCATGTTAAGGCGTCGTTATGTGTGTTATCGATTAATATTTTTGACTTCAAGGAAACAAAAGTAAATGAATAACAAACAAAAGTGAAATTACTTACATATAAAAAAAAAAAAACGCTTCTTAGAGCATTGCGCGGTGCGGTTCGGTGCTAAAAATTATATAATTTACATAAATAAAATTATATCGCGGCCGTTGTGCGAATATTTTAAACTTTAAACGTTTATTTAAATATAATTTATGATTTTCTTAATTTATATAAACATATAGACGGTCTTGACCTTTCAGTCAATGTTGTCTCAGTTAACGTGTGACAAAATACCTTAAGAAAATCATAAATCTCTACATATTTGTGTGTATGCAAGCAAACAGAAGCTTTACTAAAAAAAAATCGTTTAAAAATTATTTTAATATAAATGTTTTATAAAAAGTTTTATTAAAAAGTAACAAAAAAAAAAACGATAAAAAAAAGGTGGAGCAATTAAGAGAAGCACAAGAAGAAGAAGAAGAAGAAGGGGAAAAATTTCAATATTCAAACAGCTAAATGATTAATTGTTAATTACTTTAAAAGGTTAGTATCGTATGTAAAAAAAAAAAAAAAAAAATTAACTTTAAACAATGCAACAATTTCCTTAAGAACCTTAAGACCTTTAAAGACTTTTTTTTTCTCAGTTTCGATTACTTTGGCATCTAAGCCTTAACACATTGCAAGACTTAATAATATAACAACTTCCTCAAGAATACCTTTCTTGTTTGTTTTTTGTTTTTTTTAAATTGTTTTGTGTAACTAAACCTTAACTGAAATTAAGCGACTTTGCCCATAACATGCCGTTTATGTTGTCATACGTTATGTTGTTTATTTGTTAATGTCAATTAATTGTAATGATTCGTTGTTTGTCTCTATTTATTGCCGTTATTATTGTTTTTGTTTTTTCCTGTTATTCTTAAATTAAATTTAAAAAAATAATTGAGTTTAAAGGCAAAGGCAGACAGACCCGTACACACATTAAGACATTTCGTTAAATTGATATTTAAAAGTTACCAAAAATCAACAAACATATCTATAATAAAACGTTGCTAACGATTATTTTGCGGTGAGTTTAAAAAAAAATAAATAGAAACAAAAACAACGACAAAAAAAGCTAGCATAGACGAGTAAGAAAGTTGCATACGTGAATCTTGGAGGCTCTTGTTTTTTTTGTAAATATAACACGGTAAACGATAACGCTAACGCCCCGTGATGCCATAATAAGTTTCGGTCCAAATTTTTGATAGAGATTAGCTCCAGAGTTAAAATTATTCGTTGCAATACTCTCACACGCTGGTCTTGTAAAGGATTTTTCTTCAGTTATTTCTTTCATTTTAGTCAGCTTCGTAGTCAGATCAGAACCATTTTTATAAATAATCTAGGATGGCTAACCAAAAATATATGCGTTTACTTTGTGTCGTAGTGTCGCGTAAGGTACTCGATGTTAATTTTTAACTTCTCTAGTACACCGACTGAGGTTTTCATTGGAAAGCCTTTTCAAACGAAACCAAGTTAGTAGTAGTAGTAGGTTAGACGATGGATAGATAGAGTTAAGTCTAAGAGCAACGCTAAAAAGTTAGGACTGTAGTTTTTAATATTAATTATGCATTTTATAGCCGTGGTGTGTGATCGAGTGATCAATTTCTAATAAATTAACTTAAACATGGTTTATTATTAAATGAATGCGTTCTTCTCCGTCAAAAATCGAACTTTTTTATTCAAATATCCTTCAGTTATGCCAAATTAATACATCTTCTTCTCCAGCCATGAACTTGTACATTTAGTGACTTTTTCTTTTTTTATTAGATCCGTATTCATACCAGAGATAAAGAGCCTGCAGAGCAGCTTGAATAAAAGGGGCCTTGAGAGAAAGGCTCCGGTGATTTTTTAATATCGAAAATATATATTTTTTTAATGAATAACCTTCTCAACTATTATTATCTATGACCTTTTCGTCCGCAAATTGTCGAAGAAACGCGGTGAAAAGTCATTTCTTCAAATTTATAAGAGATGGTTTGGTTCGGTTGGTAAGGCGTCATCAAAATCCTTCTAAAATGTTCAAAAGTAATACTTTATTCGCTTTTTGCCTTTCACTTCTCCATTCCTAATTTTAAACTAAAGCCATCCAAATATGTAATCGATTCTGAAGTTGTCCACAAGTTATTTGATTATCCGTCAAGTTTGCGTAACTGAACTTACATTGCTGGTAAATACGGTCAATTTTGAATTGCTCTTCTGTGATTAACGATTCTAGGATTAAACGGTTTGACACTTAAAAGAGGCGGTAAAAAAAATATTATGCCATATATCACAAAAGGTTAACAAAGTTATGTTAAGGAAAGACCCTACTTAAATATTCCGAGGACTTTGGTTTATAGTAGGCGATCAGGTTTAGTTTTGCACTGAATGCATTAATAAATCTCAAAAATATTTGCATTAAATTTTAGAAATATTTGTGTATTAATAAATTTTACAAGTTATAGGTTGTTGTCAGCTGTATTTAAAAACTTGCGTTTTCTGGTTTTTTTTACACCCTACACCATCGAAGGTGCAAACTGACTGCCACGCGAATTTTCAAGACAATCTCCGTCAGCCCATGCGCACTGTTACACTGCGCTACATCACAATGCCATTCTATAAAAATAGTTGTTTATCACTGTAAGAGATTATTATTTTTGAAAAGATCTCCCTAGGTTTCATTATAGATTTTGCATTTGCAAGAATTTTTTAAAATATATTTTCAGTAATTACTTAAAACAATATAAGTTTTTAGCCTCTGATTGACGGTTAAAGGGGAAGTACAGTGATAGACGCCAGTAAATGACGTGGCACTCAACTTGTTAAGCATGTGCCGGAGTATACAACACTCATATCGACTTGAGACCGACCCACTTTTTGTTATACCGATCGATTAAGAATCACTTTTTATATATCGATCTAAGGCTGTCTGTGCGTCTATTTCCATGTGCGCAATTTTTGAGATATGAATGATGAATGAAATTTGGTACACTGACGTGGTTTGGCCCAAAAATCAACAAATTTTTCAATCGCTTCTCATATGACGCCTTATTTTGAAAGACATTTATATACATATCTGGAGGATGGTGTGGGGTATTTAATGATAGACCTTCAGGTACTGTAGTATTTTTAATTGTTTTTTTTATTTTTTATTTAGTTATTTGGGATTTGATGACGTTTGGTATACCGAAGTGTTTTGGCTCAAGGATGAAAGCTATTGAAAACGGTTTTGATTTGACCACTTCCCATGACTCCCAACGCCTTATTTTGCATCGTTGTTATACCAATAATTGTATTTAGCGAAGTGACGTACGGTGTGTAGTGATGAATCTTTTTTTTTTTTAATTTTCTAATAATAATTGTAACGATGTAGCTTTCATATTTAGTCAGTGGAAGATTTGAAATAACAACATTGTTCGCAACTCTCAGGCGTTCTGTTTTCAAATGTAGAAAGTAGACGATATAAAATACAGATGAGAGCTATGAAAGCAAGATAGGAATTCATATTCATGTTTCATATTTTGTCAAGTTAGAAAAGTACTGGCAAACCTGGTATACCCCCTTTATATATTTTTTATTGCTTGGTATAATAAAATTAAGTGATTTTCAGATATCTATAAAAACAAAGATTCAATTTTGGTTTTTGTTGAAACTTGCAAAATTGAACACTTAAACTTCGCTTTAATTGCTTTAAATGCTTTTAGCAATGTTGCAGCGTAACTATGTTTGATTTTGCTTTCAAAAATTTAATTTAAATTAGGACCATTTCAGTTATATAACAAATTTAGTTACGATTAGCTAATCAGATTTCTCTTAAAATCCATTTCCCAATAGTTATTAAAAGCTGACTGTAAGGCGGAATTGTAAAAAGATGAGTTTTCTTAAATATTTGGTTACTGCAATGGAAACAGCATTTGTAGAAATTTCTGTGAAATTATGATGACAAATACTCTTAACTGGAAGCAAAATTAACTGTTTTCCAATAACATACATTTCGCCGATTGTCAATAACATTGTTGTAATTGCATTTTTTCATATTATGACCGACTTTTTTGTCTGTTGTGAGTGAGACAAATTTATTTTGCAAAAGCACGGAGAAGAGCATATTAAAAGAAGATTCATTTGAAGAAATGAGTTAATTGTGGGTGAATTGTTGATAACGTGCATGCATCCACACAAAATAATTTCTTACTTTTTTCTTTATCTTCATTTTACCAACCGTGTTATTTAATTTCTTTTAGTTCCCCTGTCAGTTAGCTAGCCAAAACCAATGATCTGTATATGATTAGAATATAAATTCAAGAATTACTTTCTCTAAAAAATTATTTGTAATCATTTTATCCCTTTAGTTTTTTTTTTTTTAAACTCTTGTAATGCGATGATCGTCAGAAAGAGGACAGGAAAGAGAAAGAAGTAGGGAGGTAGCGGCCGCAGCCTAGTAGGTTTGTGCTGACTTGGTAAATGTTATGCCCTTTCCGACTGAGCACTCACTGTAGCTATGGCTAAGGAAACTTCTACCGCATTTGACTTGATAGTCGGGGTTCTTGGCTATTCGCCTGCTTATACGGACGCGCAGGTAAACTTTGTGCATTTTTCCTAGCTCTGATCACAATCTGAAAATCCTAGGGAATATAGTATCGACTATCGCCGTGATTTTGACTTTTGTTTTCATTCTTCCTTTTACCTAAAATGTAGTTTCTGCGATGGATATAATGCATGTCATGTAGTACAATCGTGGTAGAAGGTAATGTTCGCATTTTATGTTATTTTATGTTACTAAGCCAGGAAACTTCCTATTAAACGTAAAGGAGGAACGTCAAGCAAAGTACTTAATATTACGTAGCACTGAGACCGACGTTAAACAAGAAAAGCTACCATTTGATTCTGAGGGTAATGTTAAGGAATAGCAAGTTGGATTAGGTTCCAAGGATAGTGCTAAGCAAAAGACAAGTTGCCATTCACTTTTATTATGTGCTGTTAGATTCTAACAGCAAAACAGCTCGGTCTTCTATTGATCGAGAAAATTTAATATATCCTAAAAATTAGATTAAAATTAATATAAGATTTAAGCAGGATGTACACCACATTAGCCATAATTAACAGCTAGCAATGTTGATATGAATTTTTTTGTCTTTTTATACCCTACACCATTTATGATTAAAGTGTATTAAGTCCCTGCGGACGTACGTAATATGAAGAATGGCTTAACCCACCTTTTATTACAACGATCGACACCGAAAATCATTCTAAATGGATCTTAGCCTGTCTGTCAATCACTCTGTCCACATAAATTTTGGTTCAAGCTACGCGTCGCAATGTTTTACATATTTTGGTTAAATTTCGTACATTGATGTGCTTTCACGCGAGCACAAGCGTTATTCGAAATTGCTTGGATCGGTCCAAATTTTCAACCACCCCCAGTGTAATGCCCTATTTCGAAATGTCGTTATATGGAACAAAATTGCAATTTTAAAAATTTGTCGACAAAACTCGCTTTGTGATAACAATTTGGTATTCCAAATTGG